ATAGCATATGCTTGAAATTCTAGTATGACACTTGGGAACCTGAGGCGGGTGGATTGTGAGTTCATAGTGAGACTATATAGATGAACAGTAAGTACTAAGACAACTATGGACAGACAACAGAAGACAAAAATGGGAGAAGTTAGGCCAGAAATGAGGCAATGAATGATGACACATTGTGAGGGTAAGAGGCCTTACATGGTCCCACCTAGGTGGCAGAAATCAGGGATGGCTTCCTTCAAGTTTCCAGAAACAGACACCTAATCCACTGAAGACAGTCCTTGGCTTACAATTTATCACACCTCAGTTTTATGACTTGAAAGTGATATATAACCAATGAAACTGTACTTTCAATTTTGACTGTGGGTCTTTTCCTGAGCTAGTGATGTGAAGTCCAGCCCTCTGGGAGTTCTGGGTAGAGGCAGTGAGCCACAGCTGCCAGTCAGCCATGCAGTCACAGAGGGAGACAACTGGTACTCCTCGGTGGTATTGTGTTGCTAAGCTACAATTACTGTAGATGTATAAAACATATTTTCAATTTACATTGATCAGATGTGAGTCAAGGCTCATCTGCATATATACCAGGTCTAGAGGTAAAATGGTGTGGAGCCAGGGTTCAGCAGTTCTTACAGAGGACACAAGGTCATTTCCCAGCACCGCTGAGGCAGCTTACAAGTGCCTGAGACTCTAGCTCCTGGGGGATCGGATGCCTCTAGCCTCCATGGGCAACACACACACACACACCACACAAACATACATCTTTCAAAATTGCAGTGCCCAAAGAGTTGGGCACTTAAGGTAGAAGCGATCATATATGCAAAGGGCAAGTTATAGAGAAGTGGGAGGACAGTGATACTGCGGGGATGAGCAGCAGCTCGGGTCTTACAGATGCACATATATTAGGGGATTTGGAGCTTATCCAGCAAGTTTTTAAGCAGGAGACCAACATGATTTACAATGATGGCTTTGGGGAAAGGATGAGAGTGGGCTGAGTCTGGAGGTAGACTCACCTGGAGCAGTGAGCACTGGGGAAAGATAGTGGAATTGTAGTCACTGCAGAGGCTCAGAGCTGAACCATGGCAGAAAGCTGGGCCCTGGGTGTGGGCAGCGAGGTGGAGGAATGAACCCAAAGCAGTGGAGAAGGCTGAGTACTAACTGTGCTTGGATATGCTGTGCTCATTCAGGCAGCCCAGATGAGGAAGCCCCAGCAGCTGGAGGTGCATGCCAGGAGCATGAATGGGGTAGGGTACCCATCATGGGCACAATGACGGTATGGGATAGAAGTGTTGCTTAGACAAAGCAGATTAAGAAGAGGACCAAAGAATAACTTTTTGAGGGCTAACTAGGAGTTAGAGCCGTCAGACCAAGTAGAACCTGCGCAAGTGTCAACAGATCCCTGCAGAACTTGTCCAAATTAAGACCAACACTTGTCCGACCTGGGAAATTAAGAGAGGTTCAAGTCATTGGAGGAATAGTGGAGCAAGCCACAGGGTGATGGAGATTTCTGGCTGCTTCTCAGACTGGGTCTTGTCATATAATCAAAGCTAGGCTTGAAATTTCCAGCGCCCAGCCTCAGCCTCCTACTGGGATGAAAGAAAGGGCCTGGCTCACAAAGAGGAGTTGTAAAAGGCAGGAATCCTCTATCTACAGACTTGTAGAGGGACTGGATGCTAGATCAGACCCAGTTTCTGAAACCACATCATCTACTTCCACCTTTTTGTTGTTAGTTAGCCTAACTAGCCTTTCATCCTAGAAAGGGGATAATTTCTGCCTTCCACCCTCCGGTTCCTTCTACAGACTTCTCTCCCCAACGTCTAACTCCTTTCCTTTTCATGTGACTTTATTCTGCTGTCAGCTTTCAGCATTTCCCAGGAAATCTAGGGAAAAACAAAATCCACCAGGAAAGTCTCATGATACTCAGATCCAAGTGCACTGCCTAACGAGAATCGTGTTCTTTCCTTAAGCAGGGTGGTGAATATACTACCTCTTCCCAGACGGCTTACTTCTGGATGATGGTGTATTCAAGACACTTTTTCGATTTCATAGATTAAGGGAAATGTAAGAGATAACTGTCTGAAATGCAAGCAACATTAAGAGCTTGAACAGGAAGGGCATAGCTAATGAGAGGCTAGGAAATTAGATAATTTCTTTTATAGAATCATCTGATATTGAGGAAACAGGGAATTTACAAAGAAGGGGATACAATGAAATTAACTATGTGGAACCGTCCTTGGAAATCAGTAACCTTTAGACCCAGACCTAACAAGACTGGATAGATGAGTGCATTAGGGCTGACCTCTCTAGAGGTTTATTTATTCATTTTCCTCCACATTTGGGCTGGAGACATAGTTCATAACTCAGTGATAGAGCACTTGTCTAGTTGCAGAAAACCCTGGGTTCAATCTCCAGCACTGCAACAAAGAGTTCTTCAAATCCAGTCTCCTAAGCTTAACTCTAGGAACCAAAGCTCTCCTGCTTCAGCTCCCTAAATGCTGGAGTTATGGCCAGATGCTAGCAAGCTTATTAGCTTATGGTGGTGGTGGCATCAGATCCATAAAAAACAAAACAAAAAAACAGGTTGAAAAACAAATCAACTGCACTCAGGAGGTAGAGGTGGGTAGATCTCTATGAGTTCAAGGCCAGCCTGGTCTAGTGAGTTCTAGGACAGCCAGGGCTACACACAGAGAGACCCTATCTCAAAAATACAAAGCAACAAAAACAACAAGAGAGAAAGGAAGAAAAACCAACCAACTAAAGTCTTATTGATCTAGAGATTTTAATATATTTATTTGAAAACCAAATTCTGTGAAAGAGCACACTAACAACTGTGTATCTTCTTTTCAACCAAAGACTCGGGACACAGGTTCTTTAGGTCAGCGTAGGCAATGATGCGTGCATCGATTAGGTCTAGCGTGGGTTCCCTCACAGACATTTCAGTATGCGCCAGGATAGACATCTTCACTGAGCAGGTGAAATCCTGGGGAAAAAGAAAGTGGCAGAAGTTGACATTGTTCATTATTCCCGAAGTTTTTTTTTTTTTTTTTTTTTTTAAATTACTATTTGAAATCTAAACCCAGCTTCACTCGGCACCTACAGCCCTGTTATACCAGCTTGTGATACCAGCTCTCCAAATTCATAACACATAAGTATTTCACCCTTTAAAACACACCCAAAAGCTCAATTTCTAGCTGTACTTCTAAGCCACTGTCTTGAACTATACAACAGGTTGGTCTCAGGGAGGCAGTAGGAAAGGCTGAAATGACCACTGTGGAGTCAGTCCTGAGAGATCACAGGACAAGCATGCTGGGCAGTGAACAGCAGAGCACTTACTACATATCTTCCACTCGCTGAGACAGGATTTTACTTTCTAAATAATGGCAGGGCAGGTCCCATTATTAATCGCTAATTAATGCATACACTACACTACATTAGCAACTTGTACATTTTGTGTGTGCTGCTGAACTCAGGACCCTGTGTAGGGTCAATAAATACTCCATCACTGAGCTACAATCGCAGCCCTAAATATATTTTTTAATACTACTGTAGCAAATGATAGAGCTCCTATTTTCTTCCTTTTTTTTTTTTAAACAAATGTTATTTATTTTGTATTATGTGGTACCCGTGTGTACAACATGCCTGTGGTAGTCAGAGGATTATATGCAGAAGTCTGTGCGTGGGGATCTTAGGGATTGAATTCAGGCTGTCAGGGATATTGGCAAGAGCCTTTACCCATACCATCTCCCTGGCTGCCTACTTTCTTTAAAGAGTAAAAGTAATTCCCATTTTTTCTGAAAATGTCTGTTAGGTTAGTGAAACTAAAGAAATAATTACGTATCTTTTGTATGTGTTTTCAAATATGTGATTATAAAAGAAAATGAGAGATTAAATGAGTGACAGTTTCATATAATGCAGGCGGTGCTCTTAACTGTTGAGCCATCTCTCCAGCAACCCCATCACCTCCGTTCTAAACAGCTGGTGTAATTAATCATCTTTGATCAGTCAGAGGTGTTTGTGGTATAGTTTGACCCCAGGGTCTTTATAGCTCTACAGAACACGTGAACGTTGAAGCTCCAGTGCCAGAATCACTGCCAAGAGGACAAGGACAGAAGAAATCCATAGGAGTATGTGTACACTCGCCTTTAATTTCAGCATTCAGGAGGCATAGACAGTAGGATCTCTGTGAGCCTGTCCTGGAACTCACTCTGTAAACCAGGCTGGCCTTGAACTCACAGAGATTCTCTTGCCTCCAGAAGAGGGCACCTGATCTCACTATAGATGGCTGTGAGTCACCATGTGGTTGCTGGGAATTAAACTCAGGACCTCTGGAAGAGTAGCCAGTGCTCTTAACCACTGAGCCATCTCTCCAGCCCAAGAAAGGGGAAATTTTAATGCTATCTGGATACATAAGGAGCGAATAAAAGGAGGAGAAGAGAAACAGCATTATTCTTGCTTTCCTTCAGAAGTGACTGATGAATACTTACCTGATATGGGATGTCTTTCTGTATGTGTTGATTTTATTGGTTGATAAATAAAGCTGTTTCAGCCAATGGTTTTGCAGAGTAAAGCCAGGCGGGAAACCCGAACAGAGATACAGAGAGAAAGTAGGCAGAGTACAAGGAGACGCCATGTAGCTGCCAAAGGAGAGGCTGGTGCCTTACTGGTAAGCCACAGCCTTGCAGTGATCACAGATTAATAGAAATGGTTAATTTAAGATGTAAGAGCTAGCTAGAAATATGCATGAACCATTGGTCAAACAGTGTTGGAATTAATATAGTTTCTGTGTGATTATTTGGGTCAGGGTGGCCAGGAAACTAAAGTCCATTCTCTGTTTACACTTACCCCGATCCTTAATCGTCAATATATTCGAATGGTTCTGGGGGCTCTGGTTCTTGTTCCTCCTCTTCAATTTTTGGGCCATGTGCAGCCACAGGTTCCACAAGTTCTTCAATATCTTCACTGGTGTCTTTCAGAATTATGATGCCTCCAATGGAGAGCTGCACAAACAGAGGAAAACACAGTAAGCTCCACTCACATTTCACAATGCTCTGCCGTGCAGAGTGGGTGCTTGGTAATTGGACCCACAACACTTGCTGTATAAGGTAAAGACTGAGGGAGAATTACACTAGCATGAAACAACTCCTCTTCACTGAGGACTGCCAATTTAACCCAGTGCACTGTGGGCCACAGGACACTGTTCTATGGGGATGCTGCATTCCAACGGAAGTGCTTCCCACCCAAAGAAATGCTTACTAACCTCTGTCTGACTGTTGGTAGAATGTTTACTGTCCCAACATCGCATTCTACTTCATTCCTACCCCACTCAAGTTAGTAGTTTTGATCAGCAACTTTATCACCACTCCAGAGTTTGTTTCAAACATGGAAAAGCTAGCCCCAGCCTGGAGACTAACCCCACATCCTTTTAAAAGATTTTTAATTTGTTTTTATTTTATGTGGGTAGGTGTTTTGTCTGTATCAGTGTCTGTGCCTCATGTGTATTATAGCTGAGGAGGCTAGAAGAGGGCAACTGTATTCTCTGGAACTGGGGTGACAGACAGCAGTGAGCTACTATGTAAGTTTGGAGAACAGACCCTGAGTTCTCTGGAAGAGTAACAAGCACCCTTAGACCTTTCATATGAATGTATATTATAGTTTTTTTGTTGTGCTCCTACACACACAGCACAACATATGTTGAGGCTTTAATTGCTGAGTCATCTCCCCAGCCCCGAATTACAGTTTTTGAAGCACTCTTATTTGTGTGCTTCAAGAAAATCTGCAAATAGTTTTTTTTTCCTCCAGCAATTTCAGAATGTCAGAGAAAATAATAAATATAACAGATATCTGAGTTTTCACTGTAATTTGGAAACTACTGTGATGTAAGTAATGAAAAACCAGATGGAAAGACAAAGGAAAGTAGACTGTAGTAGCAATCCTATTAAGCCCTCTCTCAGCCTATTAGCTGATGGTAAATTCAAACACCAAACTAGTCAACCATTCCTGGCATGCTAATCTTATTCTACTTGCTTGCCTGTGTCAAAGGAAGTGGAAAGTTGCTCTCTGTAATCAAATCAGTCAACAGTGGCAAGGCACATCTGGAAAAAGCATACCTCTACAAAGCACATTACTGGGAAGGAAAGCAGCACAAGACCATCAGTCAAAGGACTCACATGGGTGAGTAGCTCTGCAGTTGAAACTAATCTGATTTTGCTCATCAAGACTCTGCCTTGCTGTGCTATAAAACTGGTGTGCCTCCAAGAATTTCTAGACCATTTTCCCCCTCTTAACACGTGTACTCACACCAAAGAATCTACAGCTCTCTCTCTTAAGAAGTTTGCTTTTCTTGTAAAGAAGCCATTATATGAATAGACTATCTGCCTAGATTACCAACAGCCTAAGAACAACAAAGAATATGACCACTGTCCTCATCTTCCATAGCCTAAACGTTTATGTAAATTCCTAGTTGAGCAAATGGAGATGAACCTCCAAGCAGAATAAAATACCCATTTAGGAGAGAACTTTCAAGATTCTAGAAACCTCTAGCTATGGGTTCTAACTTCTCATCAGTATGCTCATCAGAACTAAATGATCTCACATTCTGCAACACAATCCACATATCTAAAGAGTTATTCATGCTGCATTTTAGATTGATTAATGCTTCTCGAGCTGGAGAAAAAATTCCTTCGCTATTCTGCTGACTAAAACGCTATTAAGCACCTAAGATGGTGAATTCTTGATGAAGCAGAGTAGGGACATTATCATATTTCTTTTTTTTTAAATATTTATTTATTTATTATGTATACAATATTCTGTCTGTGTGTGTGCCTGAAGGCCAGAAGAGGGCGCCAGACCTCTTTACAGATGGTTGTGAGCCACCATGTGGTTGCTGGGAATTGAACTCAGGACCTTTGGAAGAGCAGGCAATGCTCTTAACCACTGAGCCATCTCTCCAGCCCATATTTCTTTTTTTTTTGAGGTGGGAATTGAGACAGAGTCTCAGTATATAGTCAAGGTTGGCTTGGAGCTCAGACTACAACTTACAGAATCCACCTGCCTCAGTATTCCAAGTGCTGGGATTAGAGGAATGAAACACTAATCTTCAGAGTATCTTTCCAATGCACCATCTGAGAAACATGTTGATGACCTTGTCATTGAGAGTATGGAGTGGGTTAAAGGGCAATTTCTTTCTTTAATGTACATATGAAGAAGTGATCTTTATTAAGATGAGAAATAATTCACACAATATAAAGGAATGTAAACATTCCTTTAATGTATAAAACTTAATACATTCACAAATGTGTGTAGTCACCTCTAATAAACTTGAGAGCACCTGCATCAACCTGAAGAAATCCACCTGGGACTGACCTGGAAATGCCCTCCCTCACTCTATCACTAGAGTAGAGGCAATTACTATACTAATTTTACAGGTGAAGAAAATGAAATACAAAGGGATTACTAAGTCACACCACTGAATAAAAGGGCCAGGATACAAACCTGGCCATGTTCACCTTCAGCTTGAAACAACCACATAACATTGTCTATTTCTTGTCTTTGTCTCTATAAACTGAAAATCTAGTCAGGAACACCTTGGCTCATACCCGAAACAAGAGTTGTTTTTAATTTATCATTGGATTGATTAAAAATAAATTTACAGAAATCTCATCGATAATTTTTCAAACCACAGACTCAATATCTGGATATCTTGTATGGGTTGGTCTACTGTAAGTCTTTCTAGATTTAAGAAATCTGGGTCAGGGGTAGCATGTCTTTATCTTAGCACTGAGGAGCCCTAGCCAGGAGGACTGCCAATTGGTTCAAGGCCAGTCTAGGCTGCAAAGTAAGTTCTAGGCCAGAGACCCTGTTTCAAAAATAAAATTTCTGATAAGCATTTTATCATGGTTTGAATGTGTAATGTCCCCCACAGACTTATGTGTTTAAACACTTGGTGCCCAGATGTTGGTATTGTTTTGGGAGCTTATGATCCTTTGGAATGTAGGGCGCAACTGACAGACATAAGGGCAAGCCTTGGGAGTCATATCCTGGGCCTGCTTCCTGACTTCACTTCCTAGTCTTCTGAGATGTGAGGAGCCCTGGACACCCACTCCTACTGCAACAAACTCCATAATGGACTATACCCTCTCAAATCCCAAGTCAAAATAAAGCCTCCCTTAAGTTCTGCAAGTGAGTCTGTCACAATAATGAGAAGGTAACCAATATACACTTGTTCCTAATAAGAAACATTCTGGCTTGGGATAAATTGACTATCACAAAGATGCTCTTTTGAAATTCTAAAATTCAATGTGTTTATGACAACAGTGTTATTATGATGGTGATCACTTATTTGGCAGGGCCAGGTCTTGTTCCTAGTTTCCCAGTGCCTGCAAATAATTTTTTTTTTTTCCCCTTTCTGGTTTCTTGAGACAGGGTTTCTCTGTGTAACAGTCTTGGCTGTCCTAGAACTTGCTTTGTATACCAGGCTGTCCTCTGCCTCCCAAGTGCTGGGATTGAAGGCATTTGTGTCACCACATGGGGCTGCATATTCAAGTTTTTGATCTATGACTATTAGTTAAGAAGATAATTCCCATTTTACAAATGGAGGGAACAGAAACATTTAGCACTTACAAAGCCTATGATTGGAATATTAAAATTCAGCCCAGTGTGTCTGGCTCTGTAGTTATGTGCCTAAATCTGTGACACAAGAGAGAAAACAGTTCTTAAGAATTACTAGAGTGGGCTGGGCAGTGGTGGCGCACGCTTTTAATCCCAGCACTCGGGAGGCAGAGGCAGGCGGATCTCTGTCAGTTCGAGGCCAGCCTGGTCTACAGAGCGAGTCTCAGGACAGGCTCCAAAGCTACAGAGAAACCCTGCCTTGAAAAACCAAAAAAGAAAAAGAATTACTACAGTGGGAGGCTGGAGAGATGGCTCAGAGGTTAAGAACATTGCCTGCTCTTTCAAAGGTCCTGAGTTCAGTTCCCAGCAACCACATGGTGGCTCACAACCATCTGTGAGGGGTCTGGTGCCCTCTTCTGGCCTGCAGGCATACACACAGACAGAATATTGTATACATAATAAATAAATATATATAAAAAAAAGAATTATTAGAGTGCACATCCCAGCACCGGTGAGGCAGAAGCAGAGGGATCTCTGTGTGTTCAAAGCAAGGCTGATCTATAAAGTGAGTTCCAGGACAGCCGGGGCTGTTACACAGAGAAACTGTTTTGAATCCCCTCCTCTTCTTCCTCAAAAATAAAATAAAAAATAAAAAAAATTACTAGAGAAAAGTTCTTCAAAAATCTATATGAAGGGCTGGAGAGATGGCTCAGTGGTTAAAAGCATTGTCTGCTATTCCAAAGGTCCTGAGTTCAATTCCCAGCAACCACATGGTGGCTCACAACCATCTATAATGAGGTCTGGTGCCCTCTCCTGGCCTGCAGACATACACACAGACAGAATATTGTATACATAATAAGTAAATAAATTAATAAGCTGAGCTGAGGGGTATGTTCTTGTTTTTGTCAGGTACATTCTTTCTTTTGAAGACACTAGTGGCCTTGCTCTAAAATACTTTGGGGATTTATCCTCTTCTGTCAGTCTTACCAGTCCTACAGATTAATACCGCCCCAGCAAATACAGCTAAGAGCCATTGGTAACTTACTGGTTTGAAAGGCTGGTATCTGCAGGTCTCTGTCATTGTTAACACCTTTAGCTGGGCAGGCATAACTCGTGCTGGATTATCCAACAGCTGAAAGTTTGGTTCAGGTTCTTTTTTCTTTTCTTTCTCTTCTTTCTTTTCTGCTTCATCCTAGGATGGGAGAAAGGCAATCAACAAAGGACCACTTTTGGCCCATATCACTTCAGTCTTGTCAGCTACAAGGCAGTGGCAGATACACAGTACAACTAAAATGACAGCAGACTCCACTTAGCTATGGGAATGGTATAACTTGTTTACCAGCAGAGATCAGAAGAGGGTCATTTACTGTCTTTTCGAAAGTCTTTCTTTTTCATTGAATCACTGTCTACTTAAAACTTTGTTCTTCAAAGCCGACTTTTAGCTGTGACTTTCTCTCTGAACTCTCTCCTGTTTTATACTCATCTGTCATTCCCACAAATGGACACTGTTATGGCTAGACTGTGAAATGCCCTCTGGAAGCTCCTGGATGTGAACACTTGGGAACTTTCTGGACATGGGGCCTCATGGTTTAAGGGACGGGCCTAAGGGACACAGAGTGGCTGTGCTGCCAGCCTTAACTCTCTGCTTCCTGATTAAGATATAAGCAAGCCATGCTGCACAACTAACACGGTCAAAGATGAAGCCCCAGCCACCATGCTTCCTGCCCCAACAGACTGTATCCCTCAAAACCATGAGCCCAAACTCTTTCCTCTCTAAAGTCACTTTCAGTTAGCTACTGTCACAGCAACAAGAAAAGCAAGTTAACACAGACATGGTTTTCTAGGGTTTGTTTTAAATATAACGATATGATTCTGTATGCTGAAAGCAGGACAAATAATTGGAAAAGCTAAGCACAAAGTACAACGGTGTTTAAGGAATCTGGCCACAACAGGATTAACACATATGACCACTGAGTTACACTTACCACTTCCATCTTCTCCTCCTCTTTTTTTTCTTTTTCTTTTTCTTTTTTTTTAGCTTTGGCAGTAATAGATAACACAGCAGTGGAAACCTAGAAACAGTCAAAATGGTAACGGTTATAATCTCTCACCTACATCCTAAGAAACAGCCCAAGGAAAACAGTCCTAGAGCGTCTGTTTCCTGTCAGTAACCATGAACAACAAAACCACAGGAGAGTAAATGGGCAGCAAGCAGGACAGGAAGGCACATCATTTGCTGCCACTATCATCTTTAGCTACTGGGGCTGAGTCCAAAACATCCACTCCCCCCTTTCTGATCCTCCTTGGGTGTGATCTGCTATCATCTACTTCTGAGACACACACTTAAGTGCTATGTTCTTGTTGGCTTTATGGGGAAAGCACTGAGAAATTCTTGGCCATAGAGATGTTCTCGTAACTAGATACCCTGAAATGGTAATACACAATAGTTAGCTAGGAGAGGCCTTTCTTGATGAATCTCACTTGAAATCAAAGGGGAAACAAGACTTTGAAAATGGAGTAATAAAGGTGCTGTGAAAGGCTATTCATCAGCTGCTACCTTGAAT